ACCACTTATCCTCAGTAGTTCTAAGAAGTTTCTAAATTCCCAAAATAAGGCAGATCTTCTAGGCTACATGGAAGCCACTATCAGACGGTGACATTAAGAGAACAAGCAAATGAAAAGGGGCATTTAAGTAACGTATGCCAAAAGTAAAATCGTCAGAAGTATTCGATTAGCATTAGAGTCACTAGGGCAGGGGGGAATGAACAAATTAAAAGGACTCATTGAGGATTTGGGGATCAAACTTAACCCTAGCTTCAATCTAAGAACAATTAGTTCTTATAACATAGTCCTGCTTGATAAAACCCTCATAAAGGAAACACAGAAGATATGAATGCTACAGTAAAGTGTGATGAAGAAAATAGATGGTGCCTGTCTGTCAGAAAGAATAGCGTCTGAGGTCTAAAAGGTTTGTTTTCAAACAAGCAGCCATCTAAGTGAGACACCCAACTAAGTCCATGTAGAAGAAGCACACTAACATCCGAGATCCAAGGATTATAAACAATATCATCCAAATCCAAAGGAGGGAATGGTATCAGAGCTTGAATTTTGAAATTCTTGTTTGCAAAAGGCTGTCGATGACAATGGAAGTCCAAAACACGTGTGCAGCACCTACACATGAATAAGCCTCCAGATAGTTCCATAATTGAGGGATGGGAATACCCTGGTTATCAGACAGACTATTGAAGAGATGATTATAGTAGATTTAAAAAGAAAACTCTTACTTGAATGATATTTTAAAAACCTTATCTCCTTGGACATATATTGAGTTTGCTCTGGATTTTAATATTTTCTGTTTTCCTTCAAATTGGGGTTTAACTCTTGTATTTTTTAAAAATTGTTGGTAGCCTTCTTGACTCTGTTCATGTATTTTTCTGTGTTTTTCAGTATATGGAATGCAGGATGCATGAATCTATAGAGACAAAAGCTAGATTAAGGGTTCCTGGGGACTGGGGTGTACAGCAGGGGAGGTTGGGGGTTAATGGGGGGCTAAAAATAAGGAGTTCAAGAAGGAAGAAAGTGTTTTAAAACTGATTTTGGTAGTGATTGTATGACACTTCTTAATATGACTGAACTGTTTAATAGTATGATGTCTGGATTATGTCCTACAAAACTGGTTTTAAAGAAATAGACTTACCCGAGTTACTTTAACATACTTAGCTTCCTTATCTATAGCTCTAGTGCTTATGAATATCCTGAAAATGTTGTTATGACTTTCCCCCTAGAGGTAATGGCTTATCCCTTGTCCTGCTTTAAACTGGAAAAACTCCCTACAGCTCAGAAGGGACTGGACCCTTCGCCATCATCTTCTTAGCCACCCAGACTATAATCATTTGATTCTAGTCTAATGATCGCTTACTTAGGTGGTCATTTACTTAAAACATAGTTACAGACCCCACCACACTGAGGTGAAACACTGCGGGAGTGCAACAGAACAGCAAGGGGAGCAGAGCAATGAAGTCCCCAGGGAATACCAAAA